GAGACAGAGTCTCACTCTGTTGCCCAGGCTAAAGTGCAGTGGTGTGATCCTGGCTCACTGCAAGCAACCTCTGTCTCCTGGGTTCAAGCATTCTCATGCCTCAGTCTCCCATGTAGCTGGGATTAAAGGCGTGCACTACCACATCTGGCTATTTTTTTCTAGTTTTTTTTTTTTAGTAGAGGTAGGGTTTCACCACGTTGGCCAGGCTGGTCTTGAACTCACGGCCTCAAGTGATCCACCCGCCTCAGCCTCCCAAAGTGTTGGGATTACAGGCTTGAGCCACCATGCCCGGCTGCTTCATTTCTTTATGTATACCTGTTCCCTGGCTAGATCCCAAGTGAGAAAAATTAAATAATTAGCCAGAGTCCACTTCTTCTAAATTTCCCTATTTGTAACATAAGTTGGGGAAAAGTCTGAGAAGACTACCTAGAAATTGTTGTTCTATTCAGAACATTTTTTTTTCCGCAGGGAAAAAAGAATACCCTATCACAGGGCTGGAAAATGCTTGTAAGGCATGTCTGTGAGACATACTAATAACACTATGCCATATATTAATAGATGTGGATATTTTCAATTAAGAAATAGTTCTTTTGGTTCTCATGGGAACTATACTTTCAACCCTTTGATAACCTTCTGACTACACTGATAGGAGAAGTTTAGCATTAGATTCAGTGTCTTTCAGGTCTATCAATCTCACCTGTTCACCAGCTTGGGATTCCCCAATGATGAAACGATCTCCTGGGCCATCAGCAGCTGTGAGATGGAACAGAGCCGAGAACAAACATCAGTATGGACCTATAGCATGGAATAAGAACTCAATACTGGAATTCTAAAATTCGACTCAAATTATTTGATAAGGCTTAGAGAAGTGGAATATTTTTCTGATCTCCTAGGCGTGACAGTGGGTTTATTACTGCTGGTTTAATATTCGGTATCTGTAACTCACATGCATTGACAGGAAGTGGTCCTAATAGTACCACTGGTGCCAAATTGTGCCATGGTGTCACTGGAGATGGTCTTCCTGTCACCCCATAATTTCCACCCTTGTGCTCTTCTAATAAGTTCTTCTAGCCCATCTTCCTAAATACCGCCTTATCCATGTGTATGGATGTGTGTGTGTGTGTGTGTGTGTGCACGTGCACACTCATGGACATATATATATATGGATTTATCACTATTGGTATATATATCCATATGTCTCCATTTTTCTATAAAATTTTAACCACTTCATACTGTTTTCTTTTTTATCTCCCAGTCTGGACTTCATAATGTGAAATAGGAAGAACATTCCTTTCTTCACTTGACAGCTGAAGGAAATGAATTATAGAAAGAAAGAATTCAGGTAGAAAAGGTAAAGTACTTTGAACAATTTCTGGTTAATGGTAGAGCTAGGACTAAAATCCAGTCTCATAATTGTAGCACAGTATCTTTTAATAATGTATCAAAATTCTGTTTATGAATTAGAATACATAGGCAGTACTGCATCACATTTTCCATTGGCTATTTATTTTTAAATTAAAAAAAATTTCCAGAATTAGGATGGAAAAAATTTATTAAAAAAAAATATATGTAGTATAACAATGGCTGGCTACATAAACATTCCTGGAAGTTCAAAAGCGTTTTCTTGACATATGATGTGGCTTTCAGACCAACGCTACTGGGCAAAAATGCCTATCTAGCAAGTTTTATGAGCATGACCATTACCTCCATGTTATCTGCAAACAGCAGAGTTCTGGGGGCATATATACAGAAAATATATACTTTATGAATATTTAGATTACATTTGCAATCATACAGGTAAATAATAATATTTTCCCCTTTTAAAAGGACATTAGATTAATTGCTTGTTGATATAGCTACAAAGTGGTATTTTTTCTAAAGGCTTATATAAAACACTATTTATAATGAAGTCAACCCTTTTTTGCATAAATGGTTTTGGTTAGCCTGATGTGGAGAGGGACAAAAATTAACACTGGGTCCCTTTTGTCACAAGATGTTGCATTTTATGTTTTATAGATATTATGTCATTTAATAAACTCTTGCCTTTCTTGTGTTTTTTTGGAATCAGATTATATTTTTCAGTTTTTACTTGTAAAAACTATTATAGAAGAGTTTTTCTGCAATGTTATTTTATTAAGCCACTTTCATGGGCTATTTTTTAAAAAGGGTTAAAAAGTTTTTACAACAGGCAGGGTGCAGTGGCTCACGCCTGTAGTCCCAGCACTTTGGAAGGCCGAGGAGGGCAGATCACCTGAAGTCGGGAGTTCAAGACCAGCCTGGCCAACATGGTGAAACCCCATCTCTACTAAAAATACAAAAATTAGCCAGGTGTGGTGGCGCATGCCTGTAATCCCAGCTACTCGGGAAGCCGAGGTAGGAGAACCGCTTGAACATGGGAGGCAGAGGTTGCGGTAAGCCAAGATTGCACCACTGCACTCGAGATCAATCTTGTTTCTTCTATCCCCCCACTTATTTTTGCTATCTGTCAGAGCAAGTGATAATTTTTTTACTGTAGAGAATTAAAACATCAGTTATCCTTTAGAGTTACACACTAACTGTACCTCAAACACGAATAAACTTATTTTAAATTATTTCTCTAGTAGAGAAATAATTATCAGCTTGTTACCTCCTATACCAACCTAGACCTTTTCTCTTTTTTTTGAGACGGAGTTCTACTCTTGTTCCCCAGGCTGGAGTGCAATGGTGCGATCTCGGCCCACTGCAACCTCTGCCTCCTGAGTTCAGGAGGCTGCAATCTCAGCCTCCTGGGCAGCTGGGATTACAGGTGTATGCCACCATGCCCGGCTAATTTTTCTGTCTTTTTTTTTTTTGTAGAGAAGAGTTTTCATCATATTGGTCAGACTGGTCTCTTACACCTGACCTCAGGTGATCCGCCCGCCTCTGCCTCCCAAAGTGCTGGGATTACAGGCCTAAGCCACCACGCCTGACCCATTTTCCCTTTTTTTACTTCCTGCACAAGGGGGAAATTAGCACTGTTTTAGAGTAAAAAAAAAAAAAAAAAAGCTGAATCTGAATCCTGGTTCTGTTTACTGTTAGCTTCAGGGACTCTCAGCAAAATTACGAAACCTCTCTAACCTTCAGTTTTCTTTTTGGTAAAAACAGGTATAATCACAGTTTTAAATTAATAACTTTGGGGCTCTTCATTCCTTTTATTCATTCAGTAAATTTCCGAGTGTCTTTCATGCCCCAAGTGTTATATTAGGAGCTGGAGAGAGAGTAGGCGGTAAACCTAGACACTGTTTCTGTTTTAGCGCAGTGCTAATCTGTCATAAGGTTTTTCAAATTCTGGATGACAAATGGAGGTGGGCTTTAAAATCAACTTGTAAATAATTTTTAAATGAAAAGGATAGAAAATATATTTCAGCACACACGGTAAGGGTGACTCTTATTTCATGAAACTTATTTTTGCTTATACGTATATATGTATGTATATTTATATATAATGTATATGTTATATATGTGTGTGTATATCATTGGGTGTAATGTATATTTAATGTATTTCTTCCCATGGGTGTGGTTAAAGTAAAACTCTTAAAGCCACTGATGCATCAGGAGAGGCAGATATTAATCAAATAAATAATCACATTAATGAATATATAAATACAAATTAAGAAAATCACTCCAAAGCAAAGAAACATGGTTTTATGAGAGTATACAATTAAAGTACCTGAGCTATACTGGGGAGTCAGGGAATGCATGATAAAAGGATTTCTGATTTTAATATGAAGAATGAGTAAGAGCTAAGGAGGGATGTGTATGTGTGTGAGAGAGTAGGGAGCAGAGAGAGAGAAGAAAGGAGGGAGAGAGAAAAGGAAGGGAGGAGAGGGAGAGAGAGAAAAAGACATAAAGTGGAAGTGCTCCATCATTGTGCACAAAGAGAACATTATGTGCAAAGGCCTTGGTTCATGTCTTCCTTATACTTTATATAAGGTTCTCACCTGCTAGTACTATAGTTCCCTGAGAGTACCAAGATAACTCATATTTTGGCTCCATGACATATGCTACTTCTGCTATTTAAAGTGTTCTTTTCTCAATCTTGCCTTCTGATTAAAGATTGTTTTAGCTGTTAAGACTGAGCTCAAGTGTCATCTTCTCTATGAAGTCATATCCGACTCCTCTCCCCTCAACAGTTGCTTCCATACTCTTTTGTTTGGCCAGTGTATCCTGAAATTAATTATGGCTTCTTCTTTTTTTTTTTTTTTT